GCTGGGTTTAAACCCGCTACCTCCGGCATATGGGGCCGGTGCCTTACTCCTTTGAACCATAGGCGGCAGCTTAATCTTACTTTTGCTCAGAATTTGAGCCTTTCAGAGCACATTCACAAGAATTGTGTAGTGACTGCTGTGGGGTTGTTGAGTCAGATGAGGAAGGTGGCTTCCTGGAGATAGCTGGGACAGAAACTCAAGTCTCAGGCCCCACAGCAGTGTCAGATGCCAGAGCTGCAAAGGCATGGGAATGACTGGGGCCAGCATTCTCTTTATGATGAATAGCAACACCTAAATGGATGTCTGTGAGATGATCTTAGGTAGCTTAATTACAGTGAAGAAACTGAGGCACACGGAGGTTAAGTAACTTCCCCAAGATCACACAGCACTGGTAGAGTTTTTGGAGCCAGGCAGTCTAACTCCAAATTATGATTATCTTCATAATTAAGTATTTATTTATTTATTTATTTTTGAGATAGAGTCTCAGTCTGTTGCCCTGGGTAGAGTGCCATAGTATCATAGCTCACAGCAATCTCAAACTCCTAGGTTTGAGCAGTCCTCTTGTCTTAGCCTCCTGAGTAGCTGGGAGTACAGGTGTCCACCACAATACTCGGCTAGAATTTTTCTATAATTGGTAGAGACAGGGGTCTCACTTTTGCTCAGGCTGGTCTTCAACTCCTGAGCTCAAGCAATTCCCTCTCCTTAGCCTCCCAGAGTGTTAGGATTACAGGCGTGAGCCACCGTGTCAAGCCAATTAAGTATTTATTTTTGAATTGGGATTTACTACCATGCCTGTTTTATGATTTACAGTAGTAATATAAAGAATGTACCCTTTTAGAAATACAAATAAGATTAAAATAAAAATGGATCTTTTAAAGACAGCCATTAACAATAGTGGTAATCAGCAACCTATAGCATTTCCTAAATGCAAGAGCACCTGATTGCCAGGCACTGCTCTGAGGGCTTCACCCATATTAACTCATTAATCCTCCCGACAACCTTGTGAGGTACGAGTAATTGGATGTGGAAACTGAGGCAGAGTGAGGATTAACACCTTGCTGCACACTTCTCCTTTCCCTCATGAGGGACTTGACTTCAGGCTGTGTGACCCTGTACTCCACTATATTACGTTGCTCTTAGCAATGCTGGTGGCCGAAGGATGTAAGTAACTGAAGTTTGGGGTTACTTATGTGGTCCTATCCCCACGTGTACAGGGAGGGAGATGCCCAGAGAGCAGCAATTCCATCTAATGAGCCCACATGACATGCCAAACGCTGTGCTAAGTGACTTCATGGATTAACTAGTTCCATCCTCACAAGAAACCTGAAAGACAGATGTTCTCATGCTCCTTATAGAGCCGGGAAAACAGACTCAGAGAGGGAAGGGAACTTGTCCAAGGTCACACAGCTGCAAAAACCCTCAAAAAATCCTGGGCTCAGGGGCTCAAGAAGCCACCCAATCCAACCTGCTTCTTTTCAGGTGTGGAAAATGAGGCTTAAAAGAAGCAGGGGTGGAGTGGGGGGCTGATGTGGGGTTGCTTTGCATTCCAGAACCGGGTAAACATGACCTATGAGAAGATGTCCCGTGCTCTGCGCCACTATTATAAGCTGAACATTATTAAGAAGGAGCCAGGTCAGAAACTCCTGTTCAGGTGAGCAGCCTAGGGGCTGAGGTGAAAAGGGGAAGCATGGCTGCGGCTGGGTGGGCTGGAAGCCCCCTGCCGTTGGGACAGGGCCTGATTTGCACTTGGGTCCTCAATTCCAGATTTCTGAAGACTCCAGGAAGGATGTCTCAGGGCAAGAACAGCTGTCTGGAACAGCTGGAGAGCCAAGAGTTCAAGGATGAGATTCCAGAAGGCTCTCTGTAAAGGGGAGGACACCCAGCACGCGGCACCAGAGGGACAGAGACTGTCTCTCCCATGAAGACAGCTTCCTTCCTCCTCCCAGGGCAGCAGGAATCCCCAGCCAGGTTTTGTACCCATGGGATCACAGCTGCTGCCTTGGGCCTCAAGGTTGCCTGGGGACCTGGGAGGTCTCACACCCAGGACATTGGAGGTGGGAGTCATCCTTTTGGTAATACACCCCACCCCTTACTACCTGACCAGCTCTGAGAGGAAGCCAGGTGTGGATAGGCATCCAGCCCTACCCCTTTGGTTTACAGAAGAAGGGAATGGCAGTCCCTCATCCGTAAAAGGGGCATGCTCATAAAAACCCACCCTCAGGGGCTGCTGCACGAAATGGGAGGCAGAATTAGTGCTTTGGCAGCCTTTGTAATAATAATGATAATGGTAACTGATGTTTCTTAAGTGCTTACTATGTGCCAGGTCCGTGCTAAAGGCCTTACACACATTTCATCTCCTTTAATTCACATGCCAACCCCTCAGGCTTAAAGATGAGGAAATGAAGGTAGAGGCTTGCAGGGCTGCAGCCTCTCTGGACCGTTTGCTTTTAGCGCCTCTGAATGTATCTGGGAGCTTCTCGGACAGAGGCCTCGGTCCTCCCTCTCTGCTCTCAGCCTCTTTACTTCCTATGCCCCTGTGCCTCCATCTGCCTTGTGATCCTGGTCAAGATGCTCTACCTCTCTGCAGCCTCAGGCTTCTTCTCTGTAAGGTGGGGATGTTTCCCCTGACCTGACCTCACAGGGTTGCCAGAAAGCTCCAATGAGGCGAGATTTGTGAGGTGCTTAATATATGCTTGGTCTGCAGGGAGCACTTCATCTGTGTTAGCTGCAAACCAAAAGTTGCTCTAAAGCATGAAAACTCTTCTATTCTGTGGGTTCAGCTTCTTCCCTTTGCTCTCCAACCCCAGTACTCAGCAGACCCGCAGGTAAGGATGGGGAGAAAGAGTAGGGAGTGTTTTCACTGAAACGAAACAGAACTTCTTGGATTCGCATCTTCTTTCTCGGAAGGAGAAAGCCACTTCTGCCTCTTGCTCTCAGAAGGTCAGGAAATCCCCTGGTCTCTGACCGAGGCTGCCCTGGCCTTGAGCCCCTGTACAAGAGAAGTTGATAAAGACTCTTAGACTTTGGGACTCAAAGCAGTGACAGCTCATGAAGAGGGAAACTCCTGGCTGAGTCAGGTCTGTACAAAGAGCTTCAGTAGGAAAATGCTTGGCCCCTTCCCTTTCCCTCTGAGACTGTTCCATCTCCTTGATTTTGCCCCGGGATGAACCCATGGGCCACAGCTTTTCTCTTTACCTGCTCAACTCAGGAGCACTGGGAGAAACTGTTGAAATCCAGTTGTCTGGGCCTCATCTATAGATAAAGGCACTGAGGCCAGAGGGAAGAAACTTGCCCAGATCACAAAGCCCCACCAGGCAAATGTCCGGGCTGCCAGCGCTGCCGTATTTCTTCAGTCTCATTGCCACGCTCATGGGTCCAAGATGAAGAGGTTTAACAACAGGATGGATTTTTAGGTCATTCCTTCCAGTTACAACAGTGGCATCTGCCTGCTTGTGTGTTGATGGTAGTCAACAACCGCCTTCCCAGGGGCTATGCCTTACTCCATGGGTCTTGCCCAGCATTGTGACCATCAGGGCCAAGAGTGGAAATCTGGGAGGGCAGGTGTGGGCAAGTTCACTGCCCCAGCCCCCCGGATTCTGGAGCTCTCCACTGGGCTGTAGGGCAAGCTCCATCCTTCCTCTTGCTCAGAAACATTAGGCCTTTCTCTGGAGATGGCTCCCTGCATTCTAGTAATAAATGGTTTTGTTTGGGTCTTCTTTCCTCGAGCATTAACTGAGTACCTGCTATGTACCTGGCACCTTAGAGCTTATTTTCACACAGGGTCCTGAAAAGTGGAGGGTCCCTGAAAACAACATCTGTCAAAATGAACTTTCTCACAAAGAAGTTTATTTTATTTTTTTGACACAAGGTCTCACTCTGTCACCCAGACTAGAGTGCAGTGACATGATCATAGCTCACTATAAACTCTAATTCATGGGCTCAAGTGATCCTCCTAACTTGGCCTCCAGAGAGCTGGGACCATGGGTGCGCACCACCATGTCTGATTATTTTTTTATATCTTATAGAGACAGAGTCTTTTTGTTGTTGTTGTTGCAGTTTGGCTGGGGCTGGGCTCGAACCCGCCACCCTTGGTACATGAGGCCAGTGCCCTACCCACTGAGCCACAGGTGCTGCCCCAAAGTCGATATGTTTGTTTCCCAGGCTGGTCTCAAGCTCCTGGCCTCAAGCAATCCTCCTACCTTGGCCTCCCAAAGTGCTGAGACTACAGGCCTGAGTCACTGCACTTGGGCATAAAATATTTAAAAAGCGGGAGATACATTCTAATGGTTTGAAAAAGTAGCTAGACATGTCCTTTTCTACTCTGCAAATATAGTAGAGCCTCCATAGTCCACCACCTCCCTACACTGACCATCTCCTTAAGTTGACTTAGTTTTCATGGACCGGACATATACTACATGTCTAGGTCCTTATGTTCACCACCTTTGTCTGTTGACTAGTTTGGTACAATCCCTTGGGTGGTCAACTTACAGACATCCTACTGTAGTTTCTCAAAAAAATGATTACATTAAGAGGTTTATTAATGAAACAAATGGTCTCGGAGCCCATGGCACAGTGGTTATGGCTCCAGCCACATACATGGAGGCTGGCAGGTTCAAACCCAGCCTGGGCCAGTTGAACAACAATGACAACTGCAACCAAAAAATAGCTGAGTGCTGTGGCAGGCGCCTGTAGTCCCAGCTACTTGGGAGGCTGAGGCAAGAGAATCACTTAAGCCCAAGAGTTGGAGGTTGCTGTGAGCACAACACTTTACCCAGGGTGAGACTGTCTCAAAAAAAAAAAAGAAAAGAAAAGAAAAGAAACAAGTGTTATAAGCCACTGTCTTGGTCTCACCAAGCCATTTACTGCATTTACCCATGAGGAGATGTGCCGTCCTTCTCCATCACCTCTATTATGTGGATTCTTGTCAACAAAGTCTTTTTCCCTCACAAGGAAGTTCCAGGTCTAGCACGTGTTTTACTCTTGGCAGCTGTGCTGTGTCTTGGGCTTTTACTGCAGGAAGCCTGGACTGAAGCTGGTGACCCATTGTCTTTGTTGGGGAGGATCCTGGTGGTGACAGCCTTCCTTAGCTTCTTCCTCTGGTCCTTTGCCAGGATGTTAATCCACATTCTATACTCAAGTGTTCTCATGGAAGTTTTATGGAGACACACAGAAAATAATACATTTACAGGGCAGGGTCCTATGCCCGGGAAGGGCCCAGTATCTGGTGGTGAATGGGATGGTGTGTGCGTGTGGAGGGGCCCCTGTGGGCTTGGTGGCTCAGTGGGACCTCTGAACTAAGCTGCTCCTGGGACAACCCCAATATGTGGGTAGGGAGTATAAAGCAGGTTGTTCTGAAATCAGAATATGCATAATTGTTCTGAAATTACAACATGCAAATCAGAAATATTTTAATTATGATATTATTTTTAAAATGATGAAATAAAAAAAATGCTGACATCCTTGTGAGTTAATTGCTCATACATGGTGGTGGTGATGAGTGTACGAAGGGAGACGGGGCCCTGGCCTTGGGAAGTTCACACATGAGTGGACCAAACAGACTCGGCGCCCATACACAGTAGTTACAGCGCCAGCCACATATACCCAGGGTGGCCGGTTCCAGCCGGGCCTGGGCCAGCTAAAGAACAATGACAACTTCAGCAAAAAATAGGCAGTATGGCAGGCGCTTATAGTCCCAGTTACTTGGGCGGCTGAGGCAAGAGAGCTTAAGACCAAGAGTTGGAGGTTGCTGTGAGTTGTGATGCCACAACACTCTACCGAGGGCGACATAATGAGACTCTGCCTAAAAAAAAAAAAAAAAAGTGGGAGAAACAGACGTAGCTGATGGGCAGACCATTGCAGTCCCCAGGGAGGGGGTACGCCTGCCCGCTGGGTGGTGCAGGTGAATTCTGTTTGGGAGGCACCAGGGAGAGTATCTCTCCGGAGAATCATACAGGATCTTCTCTCTTTCCACCTTTCCTTTTGGAGGGCCGAGGCGTGGAGTCACAGTGGGGCTGTGGACCTTCCGGTCCTTGAGAGTTAGGGGAATGCAGGGGAAATGGGATTCTGGGAAGACTCAGTTTAAGGCCTGCGGTTTAAAGCCATATCCACTAGGTGGCGCAAACGCCCCTCCTTGCGTTGGCATCGGGGCTGAGCTGCCGGCCTGTTCTGTGGCGCGGCGAGCCTGCCCTCTTTCTCTGGGGCCTGGGTAAAGCACGCCACTCAAGCATGCTCTGTAAGTAGACATCCAGCCCCTGCTTGATACCGCCAGTGACGGGGGACTCACACCTCCGGGGATAGAATAAGTTGCAGGGCTGGGGTGGAATTGAGGGGCAACAAAAAGCCACTGGCTCAGTGGTGGTGTCACCCTTTCTCTTGCAACCTACAGACCATTAGTTCCTGAAATTCCTATCTTCCCAGTCTGTTAAGAGTAACTTAGGGCTCGGCGCCTGTGGCTCAAGCGGCTAAGGCGCCAGCCACATACACCTAAGGTGGCAGGTTCGAATCCCCAGCCCGGGCCCGTCAAACAATGATGATGACGGCAACCAAAAAATGGCCAGGCGTTGTGGCGGGCGCCTGT